GAAATGGACAAATTCCTAGAAACACAAAACCTAAAAACCATGAAGAAATAGAAATTCCAAACAGATCTTTAACTAGTAAGGACATTGACTCAGGAACTGAAAATCTCCTGACAAAGGAAAGCCCTGAACCTGATGACTTCACTGGTGAATTCTATCAAATATTTAAAGAAGAAATAACACCAGTACTTCTCAAATTTTTTGAAAAAAAGCTGAAGAGGAGGGAATATTCCCGTATTCATTCTATGATGTCAGCATTACTCTCTGATGCCAAAGTCAGACAAAGACACCACAAGAAAAGAAAATACCGACCAATAAACCTATTGAATATTGACACAGAAATCCTCCACAAAATATAACCAAACAGAATCCAATAGGATAATAAAAGGATTAAACACCATGGACAAGTGGGATTTATTCCTGGAATGCAAAGGTAGTTCAACATCTGAAAATTGATCAGTGTGATATAACCCACATGATCATCTCAACGCAGAAAAATCTTTTGATAAAATTTACTATCTTTTCATGATAAAAACACCCGAAAACTAGGAATAGAAAGAACCCACCTCAATATAATAAAATCCATATGTGAAAATTGACTTGGATATGTTCATAGATTGGAAGACAATATTAAGATCTCAATACCACCCAAAGTGATTTACAAATTTAATTCCATCTCTATCAAAATTCAAATGATGATTTTTGCAGAAATAGGAAAAAACCATTCTAAATCGATAAGAAATCTCGAGACCCTGAATAACATAAACAATCTTAAAAGAGAAGACCAAAGCTGGAGGACTCACACTTTCTGAATTCAAAACTGCTACAAAGCTATAGTAATGAAAACAGTGTGGTACTGGCATAAAGACAGACATATAGACCAGTAGAATAGAATAGAGTACAGAAATAAACGTTGCATATATATCCAAGTACTTTTCAACAAAAATATCATGACCATTCAATGGGGTTAAAGACAGCTCTCTTCAACAAATGATGCAGTGAAAACTGGGTATCCACAGGCAGAAGAATGAAGTTGGGCCCTTACTTAACACCATACACAAAAATTAACTCAAAGTGGATCCATGATCTAAATGTAAGACCTAAATCTATAAAACTTATAGAAGAAACGTGGGGCAAAATTTCACAACATGGCAGTTGGCAGTGATTTCTTGGCTATGACACCAAAAGCATAAGCCACTTAAGAAAAAATAGACAAATTGAATTTCCTGAAAAATAAAACATTTTGTGTATGAAAAGACACTATCCACAGAGTCAAAAGGTAACCCTACAGAATGAGGAAAAGTCATTGCAAATTGTACATCTCATAGGAATTAAAGTCCTGAATAGATAGAGAACTTCTAAAACTCAACAACAAAAAACCAAACAACTTGACTCAAAAATGGAGGACTTGCATAGACATTTCTCCAAAGAAGATACACAAATGGTCAATGAGCATATGAAAAGATGTTCAACATCATGAATTATTAGAGAAACACATACCCCAATTGTAAGGATATCACCTTATACTCCTTAGGATGGCTAATATTAAAAACCCGCAGAAAATAACACATGTTGGAGGTTGTGGAGAAATTGGAATTATTGGCTGGAATGTAAAACAGTAGAGCCTCTGTGGACAACAGTATGGTGGTTCCTCAAAAAAAATAAAGATAAAATTACAATATGATCCAGCAATTCCACTCTGGCTATATACCACCCCCCAAATTAAAAGCCAGGTCTCGGGGTGCTTGGGTGGCTCAGTCAGTTAAGCATCCAAATTCAGCTTAGGTTACGATCTTATGGTTCATGAGTTCGAGCCCCACGTCAGGCTCTGTGCTGACAGCTCAGAGCCCGGAGCCTGCTTTGGATTCTGTGTCTCCCTCTCTCTTTGCCCCTCCACCATTCCACTCTGTCTGTCTTTCTCAAAACTAAAAATTAAAAAATAAAATAAATAAATAAACTAATTAATTAAAAGCCAGGTCTCAAAGAGATATTTGTACACCCATCTTCATTGTTCACATTAGTGATTATTCCCAAGAGCTAATACATGAAAACAACAGAAGTGTCCAGTGGCAGAGAAGTAGATAATCATAGTGTAGTATAGTCACACATTGGAGTATTATTCAGCTTTCAAGAAAAAAGAAATTCTGCCACCTGCTACAGCAGGGGTGAACCTTGAAGATATATTATGTTCAGTGAAATAAGCCAGTGACAAAAGACAGATACTACATGATTCCAATTATATGAGGGACTTAGAATATTGAAAAAATCATAGACAGAAAGTAGAATGGTGGCTGCCGGAGACTGGGCGGGGGGAAAAAGGGAGTTCGTATTTAATGAGGATAGAGTTTCAGTTTTTCAAGACGAAAGGGATTTCAGTGACAGATGGAGGTGATAATGTACTTAAAACCACTGAGCTCTACAGTTAAACATGGTTAAGATCATAAAAATGGCTAAGATCATGTATATTTTACCACAATTTTTAAAACTTGTGGGGAAAAGTTCTTACAGATTAGTAAAAATGAGCACCCATTAGGAACACGGGGGAAAGTACAACCTGGCAAATGGTCAGTAATCAAAAGATGTTGAAGGCACAAAAATCAAGGCCCTGCAGACAGACCAACAGTGTGCTGCTCCTCACCTACAAACGCGTGTAAGAAACAAAACCAAACAGCATTCCTGCCCGGTGTGGAGAAGGCCAGCGTCCTTCTCCACTTTTCCGGTGCACATCTGACCGGAAGCCGGAAAGTCTTGACATTTTTCAGAGCTTCTGACCCAGAGTCGCTCTCCTAGCAGCAGGGGCCCCTCACAACTGGATCCCCACCTCCTCCTGCTTACTACAGCGACTGCGACGGGCCACCACGCGGCTCACCCACTGTGTGGCGTGGAGTGTTGACAAGTTTTAGGTCCCCCAGGAGCGTGTACGGACCGTCTGTGGAGAATGTTGCTTTCTGACACGGCCCGATGCCAGCCCTCGCCCCGAGGGTGGGGCCTGGGCTCCCCCAGGTGCTGCTCAGTGAGCAGCATCCCATGATCCTCGCTTCTTTGCAGGTACGCCCCACACCAGGGTCCCCCCTTCACTTTGCACAAATGAGTGAAAGAGGCCAGAGAAGGGACTGATCCACTGAAATGTGGAAAGAATCAAACTATTTGTGGTTTTCTTAATCATAAGAACGAAGTTTTTCCAGCATCATAAGGCATTCTGCGGGTGCAATCATGGTCCTCCCACACTCTGCGCTAGGAGATCCTTCGCGGCGCTGGCCGGTAAAGGGGGCAGGTAGGGTTAGGCCTGGCCTGGCTCTGCAGATGAGAAGCTGCTGGCTGGAGAGGGGGCTGGGCCACACCCACCCCTCTGCCGAGGCCCCCGCCCCTCCTCCGCCCCGGCCAGTCCCAGGTTGCTCATCTGAGGTCCTCCCTGCAGCCCACAGCTCCCGGAAGCTCGGAGCCGCCCCTGCTGGCCAGCGACAGTCCCGCCGGGTGTGATATGCGCTGGTCAGTGCAGGGGCCCGGGCTCCGCCCAGCCTGGTGGCCCAGCGGCAGGAGCCCTGCTCTGTCCCCGCGTGCCGCCTTCCCTCACTGCGTGCGTGGCGGCCCCTGGCCTGCTGCGGACTTTCGTCAGCCTCACAGGTTTCTTTCATTAGCACACGGTGGCAGCGTCACGGTGGCCAGAGGGGCCAGTGGGCCACCAGTTCCTGAGTCCTGCCGGGGGCCACCCCTGGGACCCTCGGGCCCACCCCCTCCAGCCCGGCCTGGGAGACTCCCGGTCACATATGCTGGGGGCTCAGCTTCCGCACCACCCACCCCCGCCTCTGAACGAGGTCAGGAAGGCAGACAGCGCCCCTCCTCAGAGCCCCGGAGGCCTGTCCTGCCTCCTGGCCCAGGGAGATGAGGCTGGGAATAAACCCACAAGGCCTTTCTGTTGTTAAACAAATATAAGATTATCTCTGGGCCAAAACTCCTTTATTGGAAGAAAAACCCACACATCTGTGGATCTCCAGCTTCCTTCTTCTTGAGTATTAATCTAAAAATGGACTCCTTTACTTGGGGACAGCCGGGGAGACTTAGGTGTGAGTGAAGGAGGTGGCGATGGGGGATGTGCCCGGTGGGCACACCTGAGGCACCACACCTGCTTGTGTGGTTGTTAGTGTCCGCAGGGACCTCAGCAGCTGACGCCCCCTCCACCCCGAAGCCGTGCTGTAAGGGTGCTGAGCCCCCAGGGCCCTGCTAACCGGGGTCCGGGAGGGGGTGGGGTCTGGCCCAGCAGGGGGCCGCCCCAGGCCCTCAGCCTGCCTCCTACTCTGCAGCCCCCCTGCTTACTCCCACCCAGCAGGCTTGGGGGGTGCTGGGGAAGGGGGGGCACCTCCAGCAGAGATGCATGGGGGGCCCCTAGGCGCTTGCTAATTCTAGAGTGAGGGTGAAGGGGGTGACTGTCCTCTCCACTAGGATATCGGGGACGCTTTGTCACCTGAAGAGTGGCTGGGGGCCCTGGAGAGCTCAGTCTAGACCCGGACGCTCCTTCCAGAAGGAGGCGGTGCAGCCTCTCCCTCTTGGGCGCAGGGGTGAGGGACCAGCCGGCTGGAGACCCCGTGCCCAGCTCCAGGTCAGAGGGGCTGGTCTTTCCGTGGGGTGCGGGCTCCTCAGCCTCTGGACGTGACCTCTAGGCCAGAGAGCGAGCCGAACCTCCCAGGAAGCAGACAGGGGCGGGACAGCAGATGCTGAGCCCTGGGGGCTACGTGGTGACCAGCTGGCCGGGGGGTCGGGGAGCCGCAGTCTTAGCACCGAGCCCAGAACCGGGGAGAAATCCCTTCCAACGCCCTCAGCTCTGCCCCGAGGTGCCAAAGACGGGGGGGGGGGGGGAGGGGGCGCAGCGAGGCAGTCAACTCGCGCCCGCTGGTCCCGCCGCGCGTCCTAAGGAGCGGGCGCGGGGAGCTGGGAGGGAGGCCATGAGGCTGGCACCGGGGCCACCAGGCCGCCCCCCCCCCACCCCGTCCTCGCGCGGCGCTTACCTGACCCCGGAGCGCGGGGCGCCCTCGCGACTCGTCTCCAGGAGCTCCGGGTCCAGGCGGCGGGGCTCGGGCGGAGAGCGGGGCAGAGGGAGGGTCCGCGGCGGGGCCGCCCACTTTATACCCCTCCCGCCGCCCTCCAGGGCCGCGCCCCGGCCGCGCGGACGGCGGGAGGCGCTGCGGCCCCGCGGATGGCGGGTCGGCTCGGGGGCGGGGAGCGAGGGCGGCGGACGGAGGGTCCGAGGGGCGCGGGGGGCGGGGGGCGAGGTTGGTGCGGAGGACGCAGGGTCAGAAGGGTGGACGGGGGCGGGAGTGAAGGGGGTGGGGAGAAGGGACGGGGAGCAGTGTGTGTCGGTCGGGGAGACGGGGGGGGGGGAGGGCAGGAGGACGAGGAAAGCGGACGGAGGGGGACGGAGGGGGACGGAGGGGGACGGAGAGGGGGCACTGCTGGACTCAGGGCGGGGGCGGGGCGGGGGCGCTGCCACCTCTCCCGGAACTGGTCCCCGAGAACTGTGCGCCCCGCCCTCGAGGGGCCTCCCCGCCCGCCCCGGACGGCGACACGACCTGGGGGTGGGGAACCGCGCCCTGCACCTGGAGTGGCGCGGGGCGCCGCGGGGTCCCCCCTCTCCATGTCCCCCTTGCTCAGGCCTAGACTGACCCAGCCTGGTCTGGGGACACGCAGCTCCCGGGACCCTGGGAGTCAGAACGTGTGTCCGCGGCGTCGTGGGCTCCCTAAGGCCCGAGAGCGTCCCCGTCAGATGTGAAGGGGCCTGGCTGGGAAAGGGCAGGGGGCCAGGACCGCGGGGCCTCCGGGGGTGCGGGCGGGGCAGATAGGTGCACTTGCTCTGGAGAACTCGCAGGTGGGCTTGGCGCTGGCCCCCGCCCCCCCCCGAGGCCACAGTGATGTCGGTACCTGAGCTTAGTCGGGGGCCCCAGGCAGAGCTGTGGTCAGAGTCCCTGCTCCCCACCCTGGAGCGGCAGACCCCCAGGACCAGGGCTCCTCACTGAGGTGGGGTGCAGGCAGGGCTGGGAAGAGGTCTGGGGGCGGGGCAGGGCTGCATCACTGCCTTGTGGGGGGGACCTGAGGGGGCAAAGGTGTGACCCCAGCTTCAGTTTGGCAAATCTCGGATTTAGCCGCCTCCCTTCAAGAGAGAAGCACGGTGCTTCTTGGTCACCTGTATGTGCCCAGGGTCTTCCCCCCTGCGTGCCCTCTGGTCTTCCTGGCCACTTCTTTCCATCTGCAGCCTGATTCCCCTGCCCTGGGTCGCAGACTGGCCAGGTGAGGGCAGGGTTCTCAGGGAGCCCCTCGCAGACCCAGATTGTTCGAGCAGAGGGGAGTGATGACTCCCGTGAGGAGGGATAGGCCTCCCCCGCGGCTGCACCACACGATGCCCCTACTCTGATGTCCAAAGGGCCTTCGAGCTGTCCCCTGGCCCCAGCACTGGCCTCCCACCTGCTCCTGGCTCCCAGAGCCCCCCTCGGCCTGCACCACTCTCCGTGCCCACTCAGTGCCCACCCTCCCCGGGCAGCACCAGTCACTCCTCTGATCCAGCACCCTGTTTCTCTGTGTGCGGTGGGTGACCCCGAGCGAGAGACACCGAGGAAGGCAGGTGTGTGTGTGTCAGTGGGCACCTGGCTTCCCCCAAAGAGAGCTACGGCATTCACATGGGCGACGGGGCTCACGCCTGGAGGGTCATCATGGCCTCCCTGTTGGAGGGAGGTTTATGGGGCCAGGTCATAAAAGGAATCTTGGCTAAAGTGTTGGTCACGGTGGCTCCCTAGTCAACAGACCACCCAGTGGTCGTTTCCCTGGTTCCCAAGGGTGTCATTGTCACTCCCACACTTGGCCATTGGAGTAACTGGATTCTGGCCTATGTGGTAGGGGAAACCCAGGGGAAAACTTGGGTGCTGCCCCCCCACCCCCCTCCCCCAGCCCAGAGAGCAAACCACAAACAATATCGTGTCCCTGGAGACTGAGACCTGGAAGACGCAGGGGTGGCGAGCCTCCCAGAGCCCCGAGACCGACGAGAAAGGCTGCAGGCCACTGAGGCTTAACCCTGGAGCCGCCCAACATCCTCTGCTGCGTGGGACTTGGAATTCTGGTGATAGGAGGTTAACGGGCTGATGATTTACAATTGCATTATTTCCTGCCCTAATTAGGAAGGATGGGAAGGAACAGTTTGCATTCACATGGGAGGGATGATAATATCACTTATAGTTTGGCCTCGGGGCCATGTAAATCCTCCCCTCTGTCCTAACGTGGTCTGGGAAGCTGGGTGCCCTGGACACTCCCAGGACGGGACACCGGGCCCACTGGGTAGGACCAGGGAGATCACGTGCTGGAGGCCTCAGAGAGTGGGGGGTGAGCTCCTGTGAAAACCCAGAGGTCTGCACTTCAGGGAAGGGTTCAGGGGTCCAGTGGTCAAGGGCATGCTGGGATATCCCCCTGAAATTAAAAGATAAATCTTCTCATGCTGTGTCCCCTACTTCAGAGAAGACTTGTGGGACTTGTGGGTTCGGAAGACAATACTTTCCACCCTTAGGAATATTACTCTGACAGTATCTCAGGTGACATGGAGGCAGCCAGCTTTACGGGGGGCCTAGGAGCAGGAAATGTCTATGCAGCAGGCCCAGGCTGGGACCACGTGGGGCTGGAGATGTCCCGGCGGGAGAAGACGCCCAGTGGAGGGCCCTTTGGAGCCTTGCTGGAACACTTCCTACCCACCTCCTTCTGTGCGAGGGTCCCGCAGCAGGGCCGCCAGCGAGTGGCCGCCATGTTGAGTTTCTGTTTGTCACTCCAGGCGGTAATGAGAGTAGTAATCATGTCGTAGCTTCGTGCCTCCCGAGAGGCATGTCACATGCTGGACACTGTGTGCAGCTGGAGGTCCCCCACCGCCCTTAGCTGGGAGGAAGCAGGCCAGGGAACTGGAGGGGCGGCGGGGGGCGGGGGGGACTCACCTGTGTCTTCATGGCTGCGGGGCAGGGCCCGGCGCAGAGCCGCCCCTGGCAGGGGGCTGTTGAATCGGTAGATCCTGGAGCCTCTGCAATGCAGCCTCCACGGGGCCCTGTGGTTCTGGAGACTTGCAAGGGGCCTGAGACCCTGAGACTTGCCCTCTGGGGTCAACCAGTGCTCCATCCCACCATGAAAACCAATAGGGCCTCCCCGCCGTGGCTTTGTGGAACTTTGTGGAACAGCTTGGAGGGTGTGAATGTCGGTCTTCCCGTCTCCTGGGCCTGAGGAACCCTCCGCTGTCTGCCCCAGGTTTGTTTTCCTTGATTTGCTGACATTCTAGAACCGCAGGTGGGCTCGGTCGGCTCCCTCCTCATCGGGCAGAGGCGGAATAGCTCGGGCAGTGTGAGGGGCAGAGGGGTTCCGGGGGCGCCCAGGCGTCCCTACCTCAGCCAGGTGTCCCGGACCCGGGGGCTGTCTGTGTGGAGGCCGGCACCGGGGGCTCCCAGCACCCCATGTGGTTTGTACTGCTGTGTTTCCAGAGGGGAGCCCATCTGAGGTTGCGTGACGGTGCCAGTCTGACCCTGTTTGTGCGGCTACAGCGCGCAGTGAGCCGTGCAGACCTCATGCTCAGGAGAACGATGGCGACGGAGGAGCTGTCAGTGAAGGAGCCTGTGCCTTCGGGCTGTGGGTGCACTGGGCCCTAGGGACAGTCAGGGAAAGCCGTTGCCTTGTCTGCCCACACGTTCTCAGGCCCAGGGAGCGGACAGGCCCTCCGAGGCTTTCTCATGCTCTGCCGTCTCCTGGGACGGCTCTGGGCGCTGGGGCCTTGCTCTGTGGCTTTAGAAATGCATTTCGGAAGATGTTTGTTTTCCTTTGCGCTCACTGGGTTGAAGGGTAACGTTCCCCTTCCCCCCCAACCGCTCTCGACTTTGTCCAGGGACCTGAAAGCGCTACAAAACCCACCATCCAGGGGCAACATGTGGGAGTCAGCGCATCGCGGGCTTGTGTCCCAGTTGGTGACAGAGAGGCGGCTTTTATTTGTTCAGGCCAAAGCTACCCCGTTGGCCCTGGCGATCCCTCTGGGTCCCGGGCAGCTTGGATGCAGGCCTCTAACTCTGTGACGTCACGTGGGTGGAGAACTGTCAGCATCTCCAGGAGCCAGGACAGAGCCGGGCACCCGGGGAGGGCCTGCGGCGGCGCGGGCACCAGGTGGCAGGGAGGTCTGGGTCACGTGCTGGCGGATGGGCGCTGCCCCCCGGGTGGGAAGGGGCTGTGTGCTCCCAGTGGACCTAGTGCAGGCATGGCGGTGCTCCCGAGGGGCCCCCACTTCCTCTGGCGTCTGGCCTCGGGCGTACGGTCATTTCTTGGAAAGTGAAGCCAGCCCGAGATGGCAGCATCCCCGCGGGGCCCCCACAAAGCTCCCCTCCCCCCGAGCGGGTCAGATCCTGCTCACGAGCATCTCACAGGCAGGACCCGGGGACTCACGGGGGGACTGGGCAGGGGAAGAACTTCTGGTCTGGGGTGGTGGTCTTTCCCCTCTGCCACCCCCAGGCATATGTACGCTCATGAAACCCGTTTACAAAATCCTTCAAAATATTTATGCCTCATTAAAAGCTCCTCTTACCCAGCTGTGCTTCCCTGAAGTGACAGGGTCGCCAGAACGTCCCGCGCCCTCCCTGCTGCCCTGGGAAGGCCCCTCCGACGCGCACTCCAGGGGCTGGCGGGTCCCAGCGGGCCGATGCCAGGAGCCCTACGCCAGGGCTTCCCCTCAGGGGTCAGCGCAGGGACGCTGGGTCACTGCGACCCCAGAGTCTGAGCCAGGCCTTGCCTATGTGTCTCCTCCTGGCAAGGGGGCCAGATGTCATTGGGTTCTCAAAGGTACCGGCGGTTCCAGAAGCATTACACATTTTCAGTGAACGGGGACACAACAAAATACACTCAGTCCTGCTGTTTCATCTTTCTGGATGATTTGGGAGGCCCCGCGTGTCCTCATGACCGTGGCCCCGGCTCCCACCTCCCCACCGTTACCTGTTTCTCCGTAATAAAGCACCTCTGCACTCAACGGACGAGACAACAACCTTCTCACCTGCTCGCTTTTTGGTGGGTTGGCGCTTCGGGCTGCGCTCGGCT